GGTCTGCATCTCAATTTCGGGGCGTGACAAAAGTACAGGCCAAAACCAAATAAGGCAACATCCCCGAATTGACGTCAATTCGTGGCTTTCACCCGTTTTATGGTGCAAGTTTAAAATTGTGAGATTTGCTGAAAAAGGAGGTGTCGATGGGGTTTGAACTTCTCTGTATGTCCATTTCACCCATTTAACTATTGTTATTCATCTATGAAAATGTAAACTCGGTTTTGCATTTTATGACCCCTTTAAAAATGGATAATAGTGACAAATTTAATATATGATTAAAAAACAGCATCAGAAAGCATCTAAAATACTAAATGTAGTTGATTTGTATTGCACAATGTGCCTTTAAAATGCTGTTGACATTATGCATTGCATCACAGCAGATGTTCATGGATACATACATTAGTGTTCTTTCTGCTTTCTGCTTAATTCATGTTTGTTCAAGTGACCAAACATGTCAGACAAACCAGAGAACGCATTGCATAATAGACTGCAGGTTAGTGTTATGGCAACAGGACAGCCAAGGTCATACATTTTAGATGTTTATAGCTTACTCAGTTTTTAAAGAGCTTGAATACTTTAGGTACAAATATATAGATTGTTTCCTTTTTGAAACACAAAGAATTTGGATAACTGTGTGATTGTTTGGTTGATTTCTCTGTCTAAAATCGTCCTGCGCATTATAGCAGGGTCTGTTTGCTCATTGCTGTGGGGGTTTAAAGAAACAAGTGGCGAGACAAAAAAGTGAGAGACCGTGATGTGTGCACCAATGTTCAGTGAAGAGAACGCCCAGCTGTGTCATATGAACAACAGGGACGAGGTTATGTTTTCCTTTTTTATCATAGACCGGAGCAACTCTTTATTAAATCTCACACCACACCCGACACAAACTCATACACAGAGATTCTGGCATGTTAGTGTTGTTTAATATAATAATGGGAGTGGGAGACCAAAGAAAATAAAACAGAAACAGGTTGATACCTATGGGTAGAATGTGACTACACTGCGATAATTTGGAAAGGTGTTGAAGATGAACAATAAAACAATAATACATGGTCACTGAAGAAGTAAGCAGGTGATCATATGATTAGCTGAAAGAATCAAAGGTGGATAATCCAGGTCCAGAAAATAAAAACCCTGCCTTGTTTTCCTTCATCCTGTTCACTTAATGAGGTTATTAGTCAATGTGTGGAGCACTGATCTCTATCTATTCACTGGATCGCTGATAGCCAGAAAAAAGCGGACACTTGGCGCCATCATGGTACTCCCCATTCTCACTGAGGCACCAAAAAAATGCCTACGTGTTTAGCATTTGGCTGCAAAACAAGCAGTTTGCCACCTCTTGGGAGACGTTTCACGGATTATTTTAAAGTCAGTGGATATACTAACTGAGAAACTCCATATATACGCTGATGTATCTTATAGTATAGCATGTAGCGTAAAAGTAGTCTGGCTATCTCGGACCGTTTTAAAGACACTGACTGTGTCTAACGTTAGAAAATAGAAAGTAGACTAAATAGAAAGTAATTTTCTTCGAAATGGCAATGTAGTAATTTTTGATTCAATGGATGATGCTGTTGTTTTTGTAGTGTGTATATATATATATATATATATATATATAT